TGTGATTAAATCATGTTTCCTATGTTCGCAGTCATACGAGATAAATAATTCAGTCAATAATAATATACTGCAATGTAATCTCTCCGGCTACTCGTTACATAGTGGTTTATAGTCAACACTTGCATCAATTAGGTAAATGGATATAAATGGCGAAGGTAAAACCTGTTAAGTGGTAAAACACAGAATTTTCGGCTACATGATGTCAGGGACAACTCTCTGTGTGTAGTGCTATTTATTGTTCAACGTAAGTAGGACTAGATGGTTGTTCTAAAAATTTATATAATCGTTTTAAAAATATTTCACTTAGATTCTGAAACATATGACAGAAAGTTAATTATTTTAATTAGATCGTGGTTAACTGTTTACAGTACAATTGATCTTAATTATACTACTTCTCATTTTCAATCGAAAAAAATCAAGATCACACGGTGTTTCTCTTGTATCATCTGACTGTTTATGGTGGACTGGAAGTAATGTTTTAAATTACTATAAGTATAGCAGGTTATAAACGTCCCTAATCTTCAAATAAAAGCTATGCACTAAGTCAGCTTAAACCGATTTTTACTTCAATAACAAACTTTGTGGAGTAACCTAAAAGAAAACTCTAACAAATGCTGAAATAACCAAATAGGTTTTGATTTTCCTGCTGCAAATGTAATTTTTCATAAAACAAAGAAGCGTGGTTGGTTATCTCAGCAGTTGGTAGGGTGGTCTTTAAAGTCACTCATTTTTGTGTTGGTATCTTGGCTTCTTCAGAATACTTCTCGGTAACCAAACATTTTTATAGCACTCGCAAAAATAGGCTACGGCGAAATTACTGCTAGGACCCATGTTAAAGGTTTCACTCACTGATATAAGCCTTCAGAATATTGACACTATATAGATTTACTGCACTACACCGAGTTACTAGGTGCATTAAAATTTAAAAATATTCCATAAGATATCACTAACCCATTAATCTATAGATATAGGAGCCATTTTTTTCTGCGTATAAAAACAGACAAATATAAACTACAGTTAGCTTTTTTTAATAACTAGCTTTCTTGATGCACATATAACCTGCAAAGATGATATAATTTCTATATGACTCACAGACTTACTGTCTAGGTGTGATTAAATCACGCTCAACGTGTCTCTGGTATCCATCTGACTTCTTTCAAACGTTGACTATAACCTACTCTGGCACGAATTATATTCAGCCTAGCAGAGTGAAAAATATGTGCAAACAGTGAATCTAAACGCTTACTACTAACTATGTATACACTATTTCCATTTGCTAATAAAAGAGAACTGACCTTGCATTAAGTTTTTCACACCATTCAGCCCAACGAGAATGTACGTTAACAAAACTTCCATCTTTGTCAGTGATGACTAACTTGAACTTCTGGCTAGATATCTTGCTGTATAATTTTCCGTTATCACTTTTCCTATTGCATAAAAGTTGATTGATTGACTGGTTTGAACTGGGAAGAACAAGGGGTATTATATGAGCTACAGATGGTAAAATATGCAACCGAGATCTTTGTTGGTATGAGATTGTTTGGTCTGAATCGTTTTCATCTCCTTGATCAGAATAATTGTACCAGGTTGCTTCTAAGTCACTTTGTTGACCGATTCCACTTAGCACACCAATACACAAACCTAGTTTAGCACTCTTCAAACAAAAAATTATTGAAACAATTTAAACACTTAAATCAGCTTACCAAAACCAATATGTAATAATAATAACAAATAACCGTTTCAGAGAGAATACACTGAGATTTCCGACTCATGAAGGCAGTATTAAGTCGGAAGACAATATCACATATACTTCCTATTATTTCTGCTGGAAAATACTTCCACAAATTAGTTGCTATTATCAAGTTATAGGAGTAACAAACATTTTGCTAAGTTTATCCAGATAACTGGGATTTTTATCGCTATTTATTAGGCAGTTTGTGCAAGGCATGATGTCACTTTTAGGTGATAAAGTGCGATAAAATACTATTTGTTGAGATACTGAAACTTTATATGATCCTAAACATTTATCACCGTCAGAATCATCCAACAGTCAACATGGTTGCACTTTGACTTATATTTCGTTTGATTGAGATGACGTGTTACACTAAATAATACTAAATTCTTTGAGGTCTAGGTAATGTAGTCTTGCAACGGTTTCAGTTCCTATCACAAGGACAATAATAACCATGTGCAACTACAATGATGTCATTTTGTTTAACCTGAAATAACCTGTAAGTATTGAAATAATGATAAAATTACACGTAGCCAGAGATCTAGTATATTCATTGGTTGAAATGACCGGCTGTCTACTCAGCTTAAATTTCACTATACATCAGATAGATGAAGTCTACTCACACCGTCCTAGTTTGCATTTCTATTTCATCATAAAAACCTCTGTTATACTAAATACATTGGATATATATTAGTTTCAACAAAATTTTAGTCGTTTTAGTCAACATCAAATGTAGGTTTCACTATCAGGTCAAATTCAAGTGCAACCAGTTAATAATTCTCATTTCATAAGTACTTGTTGGCCAACACACTTTCGGCTTATAATCGATTCACACTGGATTAACGTTGCATACAGCTAAAATGTATTGACCGTATTTAACATGAATAAGAGATCCTCCAACATCTATCTTATTTTCTTTAGTATTTCCATATAAATACAATATTCAGAAGCTAAAAACAGAAATAGTGGTCCATACAAAGCAAATGAACTAAAGAAATTTCACATTCTCCAACAGAATTTAAATTTACACTCATCAGATTTTCAAAAGGGATTGTATCATAATCCCTTGAAGAATGAATATTCCTAGCTAGAGATATATGCTACAAATTTAGGTCAATGGTAGTCTAAATTAAAGAGTATAAGATACATCAGCTGTTTATCATAATTTGAGAAATTTATTTTTAATGGCATAGAGACAAAAAGCAACCTTAAATGCTGTTACATACTTTTGCGAATGCGACATCCGTTGGCGTATCTCCTACCATAACTGTTTCTTCAGGCTTTACGTTGAGCTGTTCACAGATAAACTTAGCATTGCCTGGGTGAGGTTTAGGAAGCCTACCATGGTCATCGCCGCAAACAATAATGTCTATCAAATGCGAGATGCCTAATGTTACCAATGCATGTAGTGTCCCTATAATTAGATAAATGAAATTTTTTTAATGTTATGCCAGACTTAATTATATCAGCGTAGACACGATCAATTGTTGTACTTAAAAACTATTCAAAACGGAAAAATCATGAATGAAAATAGCATATATTTAATGACGGTTAGCAAGCATTGCCCTGAAGTCTTGTCATTCTTGCTTGCTTATTGACTATAAATATATTTACAAATGTTGACCAGGTGATAAGTTTCGTGATTTTTCTGTGATATGCTGCAATACTTCTAATTGTTAGCACACAGTGACTAATTAAACTTGATGAAGTGAACAGGAAATTTTAACGAACCACCAACAAAGAATATATAAAGCTCACTCATCGATCTGTCCCTACTACATAACATTATAGTTCCATCTGATTTCAGTTTCCGTACCTAACAGTTGCCGGCACTAGACGTAATTTGGGATTAAATCTGTTCACTGATATATTTGGAATTAGAAGATTACTTTACCACTTTACCAAGTTTAGGGAGTGAGCAAATCTAACACTGATTTTTCACATTTCTCAAATCTGCTAACTTAGTGGAACTTAAAAATTATATTGTGAAAATGTAGTTAGTGCAGCATGACAAGAAAGTTAGTAGACCTAAGAAGTCTGAGTCTAAAGTCAAATTTATTCTTACAACGCATCCCAATAACTTCACAAAGTATAGTTTATGGCAGAAAGCGAATTGATTTTCGTACAGGAATCTGACTATCCTAGACCAAGTATATTTTTTAACCTAGTGTAATATGCCTTTTAACTTTCTATCATAAATAGACAGCGGTTAAACATTTTGATTTAGGGAAACTTATCGTCAGCAACACCGAACAATCTAAAACATCCCGAAAAATATCATACAATAACTAAATTATTATACCGTTTCTCAGAATGCTAATAGGTATACAGACAGATGTCGATGCAACTACGAAAACAAAGTTCAACAAGCTTCTGCAATTTTCGACAGCATGAACGAAATCAGCAGAAACGAAACATTGAAGCAAGCAAAGGGATCAGTAATGGCAAAGAATACTTGAAAGCCACATGTAATAAAGTATTCGGGATTTTCAAAATAGTCAAGATACGATACAGTTGCTTCATCCCGACAAATGTTAACTATTCATTCAAGAGACTTCAAGGGCCCTTTTCGAATATGACATGAACCTTAAACATGAAGATTCTGCTTCTATATAGAATTAGTCCAATACTTTCATCCCATATGTTTTCTAAGCTTACTCACAACTTAAATCCTGCCCTACTACCTGTTACATTTTTCTCATCCATCATCATTATCTGCTTTAGCTTCGATCATAAACACTGTAATATAACTAAGCACTTACCATTCTCTGATCCCACCAGACATGATTGACGTTGTGAAGACGTACATAACTTGAAAACTCCAGTTCTCCCATACCATACAACTTTCTTAGCCTTAGCCTGTAACTCTTAGGTGCTACATAGTTTGCACAATTTTTGATTAAAAAATTGGTGGTATCGCTTTTTATATACATATAGCTTTTATTACTGAGTGTCAAATAAGCGATTTACAACATTTGCAAAATCAAGTAAAAGATTGTGATCCCAAAGCTTTTTCAAGTAACACAGATGGTAGATATTCCTGAGGATATTGACCTCCTTTAAGATAAAAGTCAATGAAGATCTGTCCAGTGATGTAATCTCTCGGATAGAGTAAGTTAACCTCTTATTTAACATTATTATTTTATTATTTGTCCCATGGGTTCCTAATGGAACATAGGGCTTCAGTAGCATGTTTTCAGTACACTCTGTTCTCTGAAATCTTTTGAACCTAGTTCCACGACAGCCCAGAGGTTCTCATTTCTTCCTTACACGATCTCCTTCATGTCACCCTCGGATGCCCCCTCGTCGTTTCCCATCTGGGTTCCACTAAAGGGCCTGGTGCGTGATGTCTCCAGTCGGCCTTCTCAGTGTATGCCCAATCCATCTCCACTTCCTTCTGCACATTTGTTGAGCGATAGGTTCTTGGTTGGTTAGTTGCAAGCCAAAGTTCCTTATTGCCTATTCTTTCTGACCATCTGATCTTCAGTAACGAGCCAGCGTAGGCAGTTGTTGATGAATACCTAAAGTTTGTCGGAAATCCCTTTCGTAACATGCCAAGTCTCTGAGCCTTACAGAAGCAATGACAAACTCAGGTATTTTTACTATTGCTTTGCTACTGTCAGCTTATTTTCCTGGCATTACTTGGCTCTTAACATTTTTTTTATTCCAAAGAAACTCCACAAAGATAGAAATTAATCTTCTTTGACAACTGCGATGGACGTAGATATCTAAGTCTAAAGCAGTGAGCACCAAAATACTCAACCGTATTTTGCAGTAATACACGTAACTAGTGAACATATTTATGACGACATAAGTGCAGACCTGAGTAGAAACTATCCATCTAGTTACATCAACAGCTTATGTGAACATTTGATTACTTCTGTTCTGCTATTTGAAAATGTCATAGGTGTGAACGTCTTTCATGATCAGCAAATGCAATCTTTTATCACGTAACTTTACAAATCGAAAATGTAATTAAAATTCTCCCTACTTGGTTATATTGGCCTTTTGTAATCACATTTTTAGGTCTCAAGTTACACAAAATTTAGTAATCTGTCCAGAAGTGTTTCAGTTTAAGTGACTCTAAAGTAATGGTACTTAAAATTCAACACATTTGCATCGGTTGATGCCAAAAATCCAGCAGTTATGCATGTTTTTCATTTACATTATTTAAAAATAAAGCCAGATAACTGCACTACAAATGTTCAGGCAAATTAGATAGGCAATTAGAACTACAAAGAGCAAAACAAAGTCACCTTGAAGCCTCTTAAAGGGTGAATTGTCACTCAAATACCACAGCTGTAATGTCAACAACCGTAGCATTGGACAATGAAAGTTTATGTCCTTATGGAGAAACAGTACTATCAATGTTCCAGATACATCTTGCTGACAAGTGAAAAGTCGCATAAAATGTAGATTTGAAAGTTCCTGCCAACTACTTTCAAACACCCAGCAAATCGTTTAGTAAATATCCGACTGTTTCAACCATATGTTTTGCCATTCTCTGACTATCATAAATAAAAAGCATTTCGAATCTATTGTTGTTTCCTTAGTATTTGATGAATTCATTAGTTGTGGCCATCTCGTACCTCAGTCATAAGTCCTGAAGTCTGAGAAAAGGAACCGTTTGTGGCCCTCGGCAAAAGTTTCACGACAGAAAAACTTTCGGTTCATAAACATGTACATGAACATGACAAAAGAAGGTAGTTAAATTCTAACATGAAACTTGTCACGATAAACCCAGGGTAAATAAAAGTTGAGTTTGTTACAAAGATGAAAATGGAGCTAAATTCCCGGAACATAAAAACAGCCAATATAGCGATTCAGGTCAAATTTGTGGTTTGCATGCAGAATCTATCCAAGCTGATTAATAAAATGGTCCTTAGAAAATGAATCCAGATTTATTTTTTGATAACTATAGGATTTTTATTAAAGCCTGAATGTCAAAGCACGTTGACAGCAGTATAGAGTTGCTTACCTAGGTTTGCATCCAAAATGTAAACTAACCTTTGCGACTGTCGGAAGTACAATGGCCGTCATGATTGAATGTTGTCGTAGGGTGGTGAACATATTCTTTAGGTCATACAACTGAACAACGTGTTGAGATGAAATTGATGAAATTTTAATATGTTTATCCACAACAGACTGCGCAATATTTCTACAAATGCCATGGTTTACCAACAAATTTACTAAGACACTTGATATTTGCTTTTCAGTGCCCTCAGCTAATACACCTAAAGTGTGAATAAATACGAAAAACAACAGTTAACCTGGAAAAATTCTCTGTGTTTCGACACAAAATCCAAGGGCCATCAGTATTTCGGACTCAATATCCTTTGTAATGTCTTGTGAAATCCTTAAGAAAAGGTTCGTTGTTAATGATTTTTAGAAGCATGTTACTTATGGGCGACAATTTTAGCCCAGGGAACCCATAAAGAGTTAAAGCAAATAATAGTACCGTCTTTGTCAAAAATAATTGCTCTGAAGCAGGCTTTCTTCTTGAAACTAGGTTATTTTGGGCATTTTCTAAAGTACCAGTGCAACTGGAGTGTGGAGTTATGCTAAACGGTGTTCGAAATATAAAAGTATTGGGCCTCCTTTCAACTTTTGCAAGACCGTGAGTAAAGTGACTGCATATTTTGAACACCAAGTTCATCTGACACTTCTTATGAATCATTAGGTCCAAATTTTGTGTAAAAGGTGAAATTCAGAAGTACAACGGGAGGTGAGATAACAAAACCTAAAAACAGGAAATATTGAAGTTTCTTTGCTAAAAAATCCATAAGAATAGCTAGCTTACGGCGAAAAATGCAAAGTTTCTGGTCAGTGAAAGTGGTGTAAAATGACGTAAAAAATAAGTGTTAACTAAAAAGATAGATAATTTATAACAGATGACGGTTTTGAAATGTGGTCATGAAACCTTCCACAGTAGTCACTGCTTGTGGATAATTAAAACAAATAAAAGATGCAATCGGTAATGGTTTCAAGTCAGCTATCAGTAAGACAGCGCCGAAAGACAACAAGACTATGAGCAGTCTATTTTTGTCGGATTTACCAGCAGAAACCTGGTGTGAGTATCTGTATTGCGAACTAAGATGCACCATTGGCTTCCCTCACTAGGCTCTAGGTCTTCTGTGTTGGTTCCAGGTCTTCACCGCAATCCACCCAGCCAATCATTTATCTCGGCCCTTGTAAACCAAACGACTGGCCGACTATTGGCTGGATTTCTTCTATGGTATGTTATTTACTGCGATTGTGGTGCAGCTGTAATCTTTGAGTAAAGTCGCACTAGACTGTCACTAGGTTCGATGAGCAAGAGTCAAAAGACGGTAATGTACCATCTAAATTAATTTCATTGTCGTTCATAAAAGGTCGCAGCCAAATCTCAATCAGTATTATGATTAAACAGTTCAAAATACGACGTGAGAAATGCCATCTTACCTCAATTCTGTCCCACACACCATATTATTGTGAGGGTAGGTAGAAATGATCCCAATACAGTGAGGCTTCTGAATGGTGGCTGATGAATATGTATTGTTTGAGATGTGGGAAAATTCTGATTCTATCGGGTAAGTTTCACCAGGACCTGAGCAATACAGCTTTTACACATGATCAATTTTGCCGCCTCTTAAATGAGTTTACTGGCCTGGCACTTATCTTTCGAATGTTGGATAATGTACGCTTGGAGGTGAAGAGAGGTCTCTATGTCCAGAAGCCGTAAAATACTGCCGTTACACAGTCAAGCGTTCCTACTGGTGGTATCCGTAACATTATACCGTGGTAGCCGGGGTCCTGGTACCCTAAGATAGGAAATCATCCGTTTCAGTGGAACCCCAATTGGAAGATTGGGGCAGTATGAAGGCCTGTGGCTACTCGTCTCTTTTATATCAGCCAACCTAATCCCCGCATGGAACCACTGTCACTGTTGTTATCTAAGAACATACTTCTCACCCTGGTTTTCAGTTGTTGGTTCCGGAGTACTGCTATTTATCACTACCAATGCCTCTCAAGAAGGCCTCCATGACAGCCACGGCTAATCTGGCTTTTCTGTCACACCTCATGATTGACCAGCACCCATCATCCAAGAAAGTAGCAAGATTCAACCTGAAAACTGTCCAACAGTGATACGCAACATGCTTTGTCTCGACAACCAAGTAGATGGAATCTTATGTTCAAGTGAGCTGTCGATGAAAGCAGAAACGCTGAATAGGATGGTGGAGTTTTACCGACGACCCACCTTCTTATCTTTATGCCCTATTGTTGAGATCCTGCCCTTCCGTCACTGATGTTGCATGATATTAGGTGATGGATGTTCATGGAGTAGGTTCATGTTTTGAGGCTGAAGCGGCCAACATCGGAAGTGCTAGTCCTTTGAGTGACCTCGGCCTGCCCACCTCCCTAACAACCCACGAAACATTACTGCCTATCTAAGCGGCATGGGTCTTCCTGCTTAAGCCAGGGTTAAACATTCGCCTTTCATAGCGGCTGCCGAGAATCCCTTACATATCTTCCTGAAAGAACCGATCGCTTGTGCACTTATGAAACTTCATTAGCTGCGGAATCACACAGCAGGTAGTATATCATGAGAGCGCTTTTTTGCTTTAACATATTTCTTTTGCATCGGCAATTCAAGGCAATGCCAATGCATTCGCTTCACTATGAGGATTTAAACGTTTTAAGGGCTGGGTTTACACCATAGGTCCCAGCTTGATTACGAAATCAATTTCTTGCACACGTTTCTACTTATCTTAACAACAACAGCAAGTGCCACCAAGTAGGGACTACGCAGGCACTGCAGCATGACTACGCTTAGGGGTTTTAATAAGCAACACTACGAGAAAGACATTTCACTTAGTGTGTGCATCTATAAATATCTGTGAAATGTTGGAGAACAGACGATAGAGATAAAATAAGAGACAGAAGCACCAGTGGGTATTCAAAACAATAAGCTCTTGAACTTACATCTGATTATCTAGTTAGGCAGATGAATTGAAGTATCTGCCTACATGTTAGGCATCTCAGGATAAATGAGGAACATAGTGCTGAGGTTATATCAGCCTGAGACATATAGGTTGACCAGAACAGATAAACCCACTTGATAGTTGTGTCGTAGGAGACTGATTGGAGGAAGGCGGACGCAGCTGGAACCTTCACTAAGTAACTGCCCGCAAATTGTTGCAGTAGGTAAAAGGAAAACCAAAGTACGACGCCTCGAGAGTGGGTTTTTCTGGCGTATTGGGGATACGGAAAACGTGGGTATTTAAACAGAACGGCCGAATGGTTGCAGCTCCAGAGCAGTGTATTTAATCAGTCGCCTCACGTAGCCCCTTTAAACTCAAATCACAGTTCGGTGTTGACTAGGGAGAATGCTTGATTCGTCTTAAAACACTTGTTCTGCTCCATTTTACAGATCTTATTTGACCAGAATCGAAATAATAATTCAGAGTAAATGTGGGTGTTTTAAAAACAAGAATAGATCTGCTAGTCAAGCTAAATGAAGAGAAGGGAAAAGAGTAGGTGGTCAATTCAAGATACAATACACCAAAGCAGACAGAGTAAGCGCCAATAATGGATGAAAAGCCAAGAGTTGGCAGGACTAGCATTGCCAACGGAAATATTTGAAGCAGGCACAGTGTTGTCTGAAATGGGCGATAATGATAATAATTTATTCCATGCAACACAAGTTACATGAAAACAAACCAGTTTATGGGTGTGATCACTTTGGCAATACGAACTAATTGTTATGCACAATGATACGTAATACGTTGGACATCGCTACTTAAGACGCACAGGAGATAAGTTTAAAGAAGATGGGGGTACTTAGGGAAGCAGTGAAATGAAAAGCGAAGCCGAAGGTATCACTGTGGAATCGAGAGAAGTAAAGATTTGAAAGCAGTAAAGGGAGTAGCCACCAATTATGTTTATTCTGGATGAAATGGCTTCTAAGTGGGCGACTTTGGAGAAGAAAATGCCCCATCATTGCACATGTTTATAAGTTTAGTGCCAAACAACTTAGAGTGGAGGCAAGATGAGAAGGGCAAACTAACTGTATAGCACAGACAATTACTAGTTCAGATTGGTTTCAGCCGTCTAGTTACATGACTATCCAAAATCCGAGGCGTGGTAAACTGGCACGATGTAATGCTTTGGATGGGAAAACGACGTTGATAAGTGGCTGGGTTGACATGCTCTGCTAAATCGTTATCACTAAAGGATTTCATCAGAGGCTGCAACATTCCAAATAAACATTTTTGCGAAAATACCAAGAAAGGCATAATATGGTCTTTTTGATGGTAGCCGCTATTCGCCTTGAGTCAGTGCTATGAAATAGGCCTCTTGCATGTAGAAGGGAACGCCATCAACCTATCTCAACGGAAGACATTCGTACGTAAAAGGAACAGGGAAACCTCATAGTGCAGCACAGTTTCGCGTTGCAATCGCCCAGTGTTGGGGCAACAGGATCGTCATGATATTATAATGATCAATGAAAACTACTAAGCAATAGTTGAACCCCAGACACAATCATCCCGCTTGTATCGATGAGGAGGAGAATTTTGCCAGCAGTGCGCAAAAATCATAGATGCTTCGCATAGTATGCCATCATTTATAAGTTCTTGGTGAAAAGAAAGGCGTACAACTTAGTGGTTTTTAATCATGTATCGGTCTGAAGCAGGGAGATAACATAATTTTCAACCGCTCACCTTTCCAAAAGACTAACCCACGCCCAAAATTTTGGTTTCATCAATCAACAAAGCCTCGGTTCAGGTCGCGACCAAAATCAAAATATGTGAGATCTTCCAGTAATTCCAACGATAGGCTTTAGCAAACCGGCAAACGGAAGGTCCTACCGATATTGGAATCTATCTATGTATTTGAAGATGGTAAATTTACGTCCGTCCTATGAACTCCGGCAAGCTTTAGTGTGACTATACGCAAAAATTGTCTGACGTGTGGATTATCCGGTACCAGCCATAATTTTGTACGCTTTCAGCAATTATCGATTTGATGATCCCCGTAAATCAGCAACTCACATGTTGGGCCCGTTATATGGGAATAAAAGTAGTATTATTATTGCCCTACATGAAGAAGGCCTCTGAGATCACGACTGGATTATCAGAGCCTTTTAAAATCCCTGTAGCTAACTTCCCGGAAAACTCCTTTACTCTCTTATATTGGCCAAAAGATGCAATACTGAAAGAGGATAAACCAGGCGTCATCTACGAAATAAATTGCGGAAACTACGAGAAACACTCTATCCGAAGGAGAGGTCAACCATTTCTCACTTATATACGCGAGTGTCAACTCGCGCTTAAGCGTGATGGCATGTCTCCGCTCATGCCAACGTGCACAAGCAACTGCGGATACGAATTTGTCCGAAATGTGAAAACCCCGAAAAGAGAAATTGCGGAGAATGAAAGAAAATTCCTATAAGCTTGACACTCAGGTCATTCGACGATCAGGAGAAATATTGATGACGATTAAATCTGTTCACCAGAAGGAAGCAGCAAGGAGGTCAAAGTTCGTGTCGGCAAGACAGACAGTGGAACCAACCATGAAGACGAGCACAAAACTTTGGCGGATACAACCAACCATTCAAAAAGTCACCAGAACAAGCTACCAAGCCACTCGAGGAGAAAACCCCCTACCCCGGTTATTTCTAGACTACGTGCCGATGACGTTGTTTAGATTGACAATGAAAGCTCGGGGTCAAGGCACCCGTCAGTGCTATCCAGTATCCTATGCAAGTAACGATAAATACCACCGGATGAGGAGTGTTCGTTTGCGGATAATGATGAGAACGAAACAGAAAATTCCTTTACCAAGGCAGGTCTATTGGAGTTAATGGAGTGCCAATATGAAAAATGCAATCCCATGCCTAGAATTTTCAGGCGGAAGTGAAGGTTTGGTAGGACTGGCTGATGAAACGGTGTCATGTCATGCATCTGCAAAGTACACGTCATCGAAGGGCAACTTCACTGTGAGGTTTTGCGGAAACCAAAATAATCAAATGGTACGCCGCAAATCCCTGGACAAACTAAGCGGCGTCAAGACTGAAGTGGCGAGACGCGTAAAACATACAACTGGACAAGATTCGGACCAAACGTTTTTACCGTTCACTGCTTTGCTACCTGGATCCATTCTTCGCTGCCAGAGACAGCGTCACGCCCTGGTTTCTTCCTCCTTTCTAAGAAAACACCTTGCATGAAGTGGAGTAGGAGTAGCCCACGGTAAAAAAATCAGAGACATCGAACAGCAGTCATTCAAAACCAGCGCTTAATAGCTATAATTTGGCGTGACTATGCCTAGCGATTCTCTCCATTCTCTTACTTTGAAATGTAAACCCTAACTTAATCTTTGCGTGTTGA